AACTGAAGACCGGTTACCCTGGTTAACTGCCAATCACTAAAGTTTATTTTATATCAAACTAATCAACAGGAATTAATTCTTGTTAAATAAAATAACCTTCTTGAATATTTCTCGCTTTCCCTTAGTCATTTCAACATTTTAAAAGCTCAGCAACTCGTCTAAGTCATTCTCATTCACTGAGAAAAATGGTGTAAGTATACAAAATTATATTCGTTTACGGTGAACAATAAAACGTTCACTCTGAATTCATAACAATAATCAATTAGTATATAAGTTTAAATTAGTTTAGCGGTTACATGGCACCTCATTTCGTTTCATTCAGTGTTTTGTTGTCACATGGTAGACGCGATCTAAGGAACATGATCACCATCAAGGATGGCATAGGATAACATTGGTCTCTATCCAGGTAGAGGTTAATTTATACTTAAAAAATTGTACTCATCTACATTTTACAGTTTCAGAAGGTAAAGAGAATCTGCAAATCATTTATACCGCGTAGATGTCATCAACTAAACACAAGGTATTAAAGAACATATGTCTTTGCCTAAACCTTGAGGTGATGTTAACCGATATCTTCTTAAGACGATACCAAGATAAGTCCATGAATGCTTTTTTTCTCTCCTCTGTGTATAGGAAGCTCATCATTTAGCTGACTGATATTTAGAGATCATCAGATGCCGACTGAAAGTTGTTGCGTTTACTGTCGACCTAAATCTACTGGAGAAAGTTATTCCAAAACTATCTTTATGTTCATGATATTCTCATGTATTCTGTTTCTTTGGTAAAATAAATGTTCGGATCAGTATTGTCAATGGAACATTAGCTGATTTGTTACAGCTAACTTCGAAATACGTGGGAATTTGTGATTCACACATTTCGCCTGACCTATAGACTAGTGTTGACGCAAATTTCAGTCAGTTCTGCTTGACGTAAATTTTGTTACCTCATAATCTGGTCTTTAATGACACTTCAAAATGCTGATTAGGGTCATTATGTTAAATCTCCATATGAAACATTATCAATGAAGCTTAAGTACATTCTAATTATCATCGGAACTATTTGGCAAAGTTTTCTTCACGGTCTGGCTGCTTGTTGGTACTCACTACCAAAGTTTATCTACAACCATAAGGAAACTTATGTTCCCTCAGAAATTCAAATCGTTGTCAATCAGTGTTGAACTCTGGAACTTTACCACTGAGCTGTTCAAGTCATCCCGCACTCTTTCAAGACTAGATTTAATGCGCTACTAGGCCTCCAAATAATAACCAATGTATCTATAAAGTTGTTCTTTTCCTTCAGTCAAAAATGATCATTAGTACGATGATCACTAGGGGAAACTTTCATCATGAGTTTCGCCTTCTGTCATTTGTAAATAAGTATCAAAGACTTTCCTTTAAAAAATAAGTAATTCTTTTGCTTTTATGATGCTACTTGTATTATCCCATCATTGATCCATTTCCTGGGCGCACACCAATGGAGACCGATCAATTAGGCACAGTCAGCGACGGAATAACACAAGTAACATCGAATAAACTATACCCGTTGCACAAGAAGTGGTTATCAGGACTAGGTGGCCTAGTGAATAACGTTCTGACAATCTATTTCTGGTCCCAGTCTTAGTATGGAAGGCGGGTACATCTAACTGATGGCACTTAAATGGGAGGAAACGTGCGTCTGGAATTCCACTGTTAGGTACTATCCATCGTTAATACCAAAACTATTATGTTTTGTTAATTATATTTGTTGAACCTAGCTTAAAGATATTCTCTGCCGCATGGTAGACGGAGTTTAGTGAATCAGCTTATTCTGGACAGGAATTTCTTACTCGACTAGTGTACGCTGATGTGATTAGCAGCCAACATTTGACCAGTAATTCATCAGAATGAAAGTTTACGATATCATACACACTGATATAAAACAAAGTGAATAGAACATTGTGGTAGAATTCATCGGGGACCGATGTCATTTAAATAGCCACTGAAAACCTGGGAACACTGGACAGTTGTTTCGTCCCATTATGAGACTCCTCACCAATACTCACTGACAAGTCCGTCACGACCGGGAACAGTTTAGACATTGCTTAAGCGCAGATTTCTTGCCACCCTCCTCATCCTTCTAGAGTCCATGACAAGTAAGTCTTCAGCTACAAGGTGGTATTCACCAAGAAGTGACGTCAGTTGCAGAACCACTGAAAACCTCGGAACACTGAACAATTGCTTTTTAATACAGGACTCCTCAGTGGTGCGCACCCACGATCCTGCCAGGGGGCCAACTCAGGATCCCAGGTTTTGTGGTGAGCACACCAGCATTAGGCTACTGGGTTAAAACCCCTGGTCCATATTTTCCTTCAGTCTCCAGTTAACTATACGTTGAAACTTCGATTCATCTTATTCTAATTTGTTCATTGCAAGCTTATAAGAGTATTGTCTATTTAGCACCTTTATTCGGTGCACCAGTATGCCTTGGTTGATGATCTCACTGATTACTCCATTTCTTGATAGTCTTACAAGTAAATCTTATTGTTGTTCCTAGACTGGGATAAGTAGGTGTCTGTACTGTTTTGATAGCCGCAAAAATAAGTATTTCTAGTCATAAGTAGAAATCTGAACATTTCAATCAGTAGGAATCAATCGACCAGATCTGCTAGTAAAGAACACAGTATGAATGACTCAAACTTGACTTCTGTGATAATGACAACATTTGAATGTAAGGTCGAGTAATTTGACCCTGTATAGCAAGAGGAAATTACAAGTACCAATATACGACAACAAATGATACCTTTGGTAGAAGTGGCGGTTTTCATGTTTCAGTGGCCTAGTGGATAACTCTTAGGCATTTAAAGTTATGAATACTGGTTACAAGTCTCAATAAGAACAACTTCATTCACTGGGGTGTAGATACATCGAGTTAACTAGTCCCAAACAGAACGAAACGCACATCCTGTATTCCACTGCAAGTCATCAAGATGAATGTAACATTTACTACTTACAGAAATTATAATTATTCCCCAAGAATTGAGCGTCTGTGAAATAATATGACTGGAGCCACCAATTAGATTAGACTGCATACAGCATCCATTTCTTCTTAACTAGTTGACTTATAGCTGATAAGTAGAATGATTACAATCAACCGTTAAGACAAAGTGACCCATCTTAACTAGTGAAACAAGATAACATAATCTCGTAAAACTGAGTAGTTGTGTAAGGAAATGACTAGTTTAAGAATAGATTTTTCCAGTAGCCGATATCATCTATGATAGTACTAAGAACAAGGCAGCATTGGACAAATGTTTCAGCCTATTCTACAACTGTTTAGAGGTGTATACACAAAACCATATATGAGAGTCACCATAAGACTTCATGAGTGACTGAGTTCAGGATAGGTCTTTTCAAAAGTGCTTATTGGAATCAATAAACTTTAAGAAGAAAGCCTAGATGAATGATGGTATCCAACCAAAACGGTGGAAAATGGCGAGTTGGCAGTGGTAACTACGGATGATCAGGCCAATTTACGTAATGCGTTATGCGAGAGTAATTTAGCAGTTTTAAGCGGAGAGAAGCAAAATGTTGTAAAAATTTCACGCACATATGTGTCATTAGGTTAAAAAAGTACGCCTCAAAGCCAAAGAGTTTCTTCTTGGATATTCTCCTCATAAACATGTAGAGAGACTGTTGATGAAATCATTTATACCATGTTGGCCGTTTCTAGAAAATAGAATAAATAGATAGTCATTTCTTCTGAGTTCTGTGCAGAACAATACTTCGTTGAAAAAGCTTAAACTCCTCGAGAAAATTAACATTGGTGTTTATTATTACTTTGTAGCTTATGAATCGTTCGACATGAAAATACTAAGAGTCGGTTAGTAGTGAAAAAGTAAGTAATCCAGGGGAAAAAGATTGGTAGAAATCTTAACTCCTTACTTACCTACTGGTAGTCACGAGATATGATAGACTTATGTACCATTGAATATTTTATTCTATCTGTTGACGTCTACCAGAAGGGTATAAGTCATTTGTTTCACTCCTGGTGGAATGCATCGGTTGGATTTTCTCTAAATACCACAAGGGATTAGTGTTGTTATTTATATTTATGCTGAGAACATCATTTACTATGTAACTGACTATGTGAACTTCACTGCTCAATGGAAGGAATTTGGCATTACCTTGTAATGTGATACATGTTGGGTTCCAGATTCCAGAGGCATAACACTAGCACATAGGCATATGGATTTAAGTGCTGACAGTATAGGAGGTATAAATGGCATGTAGTGAATCCCAGGACTGACAATCACTATAAGTGGCACTAAAATAAAGTGTCAACTATTAAAAATGTCTCAACAACAACTGAAAATTTCAAGTCCCGATGATTACTATTCACAGAAGAAAAGTCATCATGATATTGCTTATTCATTTCAAATTTGCCAACCAAATAGTTTTCCTTTTAATTTGGGGGTTTGTGGGGATTTAGTGATTTTTCTAGTTGGTATTCATCATGGACTGACATCACTTCGAGGAACATTGGAAACCTAGGAGTACTGGATAGCCGTTTCTTTCTGGTATGGGACTCTTCAGCCATGCGCACACATGACCCCACTAGGGATGGAAATATGGACCATTGGATTCCGACACAGTGGCTGAATGGTAACGTGCTGGCCACGGAACTTGAAGGTTCTAGGCTCCATCTCTGAAGGGAGGTCATGGGTGCGCACTGCTGAGGAGTCCCACAATAGAATGAAACAGCTGTCTAGTGTTCCCAGGTTTCCAATGTTCTTCCAACAGATGTCAGTTCATGATGGATACCAACTATAAATAATTTTCATTGAAGATGGTGACCAACCTGAGATGAGTCTAAAGTTGTAAAATCTAGCCGGAATGCACCATGAAGCTGAATGAATTTTATTCTTTGGTCTGTACTTTTCAATGAGTTTACCAAACAGAAAGGGTTTGTTATCTAATAACCTAATGATACTGCTGAACTGACACTGTCAAATTATATTCCAATTACTTCATATAATTCCATGAGAATAAACAATAGAATCTGAGAAGATATCAATAACAATGACTTCATATTTCAAGGTTGAGGTTATGGCTCAGTATGTTTTATTAGTCAGTCAATTGTCAACTATGGAGTGACTGGTTTGGACCGTACTACAACCACTAAATGTTTCCGGCACCAAAGCAATACTAGTAATGAATGCTAAATTGGGTCGAAACATGAATGCATAACTCGTATGCAAAAGTGGTGACTCTTAAAGTAATATCAAGGTATCCACAAGGGAACCCATATGCCAACAGTGATTGGTTAACTCGATGCAAAATAACAACAGGAATTTATAAGTATTAATAAATAATCACTTCAAAGGTCGATATCATCATGGGAGTATCTTGTAAGCTTTTGGTTCCATCGTCATGAAGAAACATAGATACTGATCATTGGAAAGTCTGAACTGACTTTAAGTTATATCAACCTTTAGTCAATGAGTTGAGGGGAATTATTCTCTTTTTTGAAGATTTTTACCTTTCATTCAACTAACAATCTTAGCTGCATTTTGTGAGCGACATTCATTTGCATAAAAATTCCACTATAGATCAAGTTTTGTCAGTAACCATAACGTTTCACATAGATTCCGTCATTGTTGTGGCCAAAAGGTTTCATTTATCTCACTACTGTTCGTGATTACTTGTTTAGTGTTAGGGTGAATATGCGATCACATGACTAGACATTCTCAAAACTTGATGGCGATAGAGGAAAACTGCCAATGGAATCGACGGTGTGGGTTCCGTCCTATTTGGAGCTCACCAGCTGGATGTGCCTACCTCCGAGTCAGCGATATTGTTTCCATTCAGACTCGAACTCACGGTCGACCACTTTAGACCACTAAATTACAATAGCCGCTTTTTTTGCGACAGATATAATCTTAATGGGAGCATCATAGATCAGTGGAAAGCAGGCACACCCAGCTGGCGAGTCCCAATTAGGACGAAGTATGCTTCATGGATTTCACTGCCAGCCACTATCCGTTATTAATATCAAAACTGAAACGACAGACATTACCGAGGCAACTGCGTAGGAGCCCATATTGCCAATAGAGATCAATCAGTTCTGTCCGATCAACGATGGGATGATACAGGCAATAATAAACTACTGAAATCCTCTAAATAACACCGCCACTTTAGTTAATCTACAGATGTGACAGAAAACTATATTGTTTTGCTGAACATTATTCAGCAGGTCAAGTTGTAAATATTATAGATAAGTTGATCAACTTTACACATTGCACCAAACTACTTAATTTTACTAATAAATAGTACAATAGCATAATTCGATTAAATAATCGAATAACTTACTGTTCATAATCTTCTCGACAGTAAATTTTTCCACATCGATTAAAACAACTTATCTCTTCATTTAAACACTTTCCACACATATGACAGTTTAAACAGTTCACATGCCATAATTGTCCATCAGATAATCCAAGATACAATTTGTCAATTATAGGCTGATTACATCCAGTACAATTTTTATTAGATCCACCATTAACATTTTGATAGTTTTTTATTTGTTTCCTTGTAACTGATCGAATAGAATTATTTGAGCTGATCATTTCCAAGGTGGTGGTTGTACTAAGAGAGGTAGTTCTTGAAGGAGTTACCTCCGTTATTAACTGTTCCGGTGGGAACAATAACGATATTGACAATGATTCATATTCACTGGGATGAGGGTTCTGTGAATGCAGTTTAATTCTGGCATCCTGTATTGTTTCGTCAGGACTCACACTTATCTTCGACAGCCGTTGACCTATTGTAAAGGATGTTGCTGACGGTGCTGATGGAAGAGATGGTGGTGATGGTGGAGGCGGAGGAGGAGCTGTTGTTATTGTTGAAGCCAATGACATTGAATAACCAGTAGTAGTAAGTGGGAAATTTTTAAATAAGGCATTTGAGTATACACAAGACACAGAAGTGTCTATTACACTGTTCTGTTGATCGCATGTGAACATGTCGGTGGATGAATTAGGCTGAGAAGGAATGGATGATTCTAACTTTGTATATTCTGTGGTCATCATAATGTGAATGTTTCTGCTAGTCACTAGTAGAAAGAAACATAAAGTAAGTGATTAAAACAATATTGTGAAAAATAGACGCTCACTACTTACTGCATCCAAACAAAAATAATATGCTGATAACTGTCAGACTGTCCACTCTGTAAATTTTGCGGGGTTGTGGAGATTTGGAATTATTTCAAGTTGTTATTCATCGAAGACTGACATCAGTTGGAGGAACAAAGGAAACCTGGGAGCACTGGACAGCTGTTTCGTCCTAGTATGGGACTGCTGGTGGGGTCGTGGGTGCGCACTGCTGAGGAGTCCCATACTAGGACGAAACAGCTGTCCAGTGCTCCCAGGTTTCCTTTGTTTCTCCAACTGATATCAGTCTTCGATGAATAACAACTTGAAATGTCCACTCTGTAGTTAGTAGAGCATTATTTGAACCCATGGCCACCTACAGCGAAGTTGAAAGTTTAGACTTAGACCAGTGATTAGGAAATCATTTTAAGCATTTTGTTCATAAATTTTGAACAACTTCTTTTCGATAAAGTTGCATACACCCGGGAAACAGTTTTAATCATAAGAAGACTTTCAATGGTGTCTTCAGTCAGAATCATGGTAGAAAGCTGAGTATTCAAGATTTAATGAGTTTTGATTCAGTTACTTCGATTCTATTTGCATCTACCTAAATTAGTAGTATCCGACTGTTAACAGTTAAACATTTTTTTCCATTGTTAACAGTTTTATGGTTATCATACTGACTATGTGAGACAGCCATGATTTGATAGGCTGGCATTGATACTCGGTGATGACTGAAGGTGAAATGGACCTCGCAGGTCAGTTGGTAGAGCACCCAGCTGGGAACCCTGTGGTCACTGGTTCGAATCCGGGTGAGGTTCAAATTGTACTTCTCACCTTCAGTCATCACCAAGTATCAGTTTCATAGTTGTTTGTTTGTGCAACACTCCTCTGAAGTTCATCCATCATGACTTCAGTTGAATAAAAGTCACTTAGTAGTGATGTAGTAGAAATACATATGTAACTTCTCGGTGGTTTTGTAATCAGGAAAGATTTCATCCAGCAACAGAGAGTCCTGTGTGAAATACGACAGGAACTTCAGTGGTATACTAGTTAAAAAATAACCCAAACTAATAAAGGGATATTGCTCACCGGAGAATATTGACATGCGGTTACCGATAGTCGTGTAACACTTTTGAATCTGAACTGATCATTGATTTACTCGGATAAATTTACCTTACAGAGTCTTAATGATGTACTCAGTGAAATTTCGCCAATTTGTGGGGGCCTCTGTATCAAATTATAGTAATTTGTTGTAGTTGAATGATACTTTCTAACTTCAGCCTTGTTATGAGAGAAAAGTACTCGACTGTGAAGGGTGACTACACAAAAGACAATTTATAAATTGTTCCATCAGTCTGCAGGCATGCTCTACAGAGAGATATGAGAATGAGAATAATGCTTAGCTAATCATATTTTGTTAACTTGTCAACAAGTTGATTGTCTGTGAATATCTTCATAATAGGTAGCTTTAATTTGTCAACTAAATCGTCTTTCAGTTGTAAATGTTTCATCTCTGAATATGCTGGAGAGCAGTTGAGTAACAAAAATGTCCTAGCCCACTGGGAGATCCTTTGAACAAACAGATTACAATATTTTTAGTGTCGAGCAGAACACAATATGTCCTCTTTAAGACCTCAACCCTCCAAGAATTACTTCAAACCCCAGTTGAAACAACTAAATAATAAGTTGTTTACACTCTGCAGCAAATGTAGTAGTGAAGACGTAAGTATTTACTCTTCGGGTATGTTTACAGTGAAAGTAAGAATACTATGAGAGAGTTAGAACAATAAAGTTATTAATAAGCTCTATCTTCTAATACTGTGTAATTAGTTGATTCGACTGGGCCATAAAATGAAACGTCTACTTGATATTCAATCATTTGTGATACGAAATTAACTACGACAAAACGATTAGTTAATTTAATACACAAGGTGATATAACACGTAATAAATGCACTAACTTGACAGTAACTTGATTTTAAAAAATCGCAGTTGTTTGGATTTCTTTTTAGAATGTATCGAGATACACTCAGCAACTACCAACAAGTTTGTGTGGTAGACGAGAAGCCATACCTGTTCTTTGAAGCCTCATGATGTTACTTATTCTCCCTAACCTTGGTACGAGGAGCTGGTTTCGAACTCACGACCCACATGTTGGAGGCTAACTACCTACACCAAAGAGTCACAGTCCGAAGTGTTGAAAAAATTGGTAAAAAATGAGATTAACTCATGGAAAGTAAAAATCTCTATTGTAATTCCGATTGGTACTGAAGTTGAGAAACAGTATACTCTTAGTCATCAGTTGTTTCATGAATAAAACTTTTCTTAGTTAAAGAAATGAAAAATGACATAGTCATTTAAACTTTGGCGACACGCCCCCTCCCCCAGCAACTGATAAAATAACCAATGACGCCTTCAATTTTTTAATGAAAAAACTACCTTTCCAATCGAAATAAATAAAGCTAATTGATTATTTCAGCAGTAACCAAATTGATCCTAGGAATCACTCATTGTTTATACTATTTCTTTGTTTTGTACAATACTAATTCAGCTGTACTATCTAAGGGCTGGATATATATATACGTATACTTGTTGATTGTGGTAAAACTATGCATAACTGCACACTGAGGCTAATGATATCTACTTATTGAAAGAGGTAGTAGAAAATATAGCTCAACTCAGTGACTTTGTATGAAATTCCTCCTAATAATCGAATGACAGCTAAGGACCCCCTCCCCAAGAGCTCTCGCAAAAAGCTAACAATAAAGTCACCCTTTCTTTTCTTTAGTCATATGACATGAAAAGACGAGAATGGATTTGAAGCTCAAGTTGTGGACACATTGTTACCTTCATTTTCTTACTGGATTACACATCTCTTGTGCAATACAATAACATTTGATATTATCAGGTTATATACAACGTCTGAGATGACATTAGCAGACTATCAACTTCATATTCACCTATATCAGTGTACACTTTGATAACTTACCGAAACTTTCCAGTTTAGTCCGACATTATTTATTGAGATCATAGAGTTTTTCAAGTTACTCACTTTGAAAAGACCGGAGATGACGATGCATTGATATATTCATTCGACTTCCAGTCGAGGAGTCATTGGTTTGAGGCCATCCCACCTACTGAGGTTTCAACATTCAAGTGGCATTGTTATCCGTCATCCAACTGTTCCTGCCGACTGCACGAATGTATACATGACGGCTCAGTGGATTTAACTTTTTATTCGATTCTAGTTGAGACGAGAAGTGTATAGAAGTTACTCGACTTTCTATTGCCTTCAACCGTTTCTTCTGTCAGAGAATTGTCGACAAAAGCAAGAAAGTGATGTGATCCTTTGTTTATCGATATATTTTTCTGTGTGACTGTCATAAGACATGCGTTTTTAAAAAAAAGTTTCCCAAACCCAAATGGATTATGAAGTGACACGATAAAATATAATTATCGGAAATAATGACCGATTCATTCACTGATTTAAAAAATATACGCATACTTTTAAGTTCAACTAACTCACCAAAATGTATATGTCATCAGATAAATTTCGTGCAATAAAATCCAATAAATGAGGAATAACCATTTAAAAAAAAAAGAAGTATTAGCTTATTCCCAGATATTTTCCACTTTATTCTTTTGGGGGGAAGATTAAATCCCTATTATCTATCATGTTTTCGTCTCATTTTGTCATCCTAGTAAATATTGCTTTTTGCTTTCAACCAATCATAAATCAATGATGGCGGCACTTACATTCACATTGCTAAATTTCTATATTAGCAAAGTAGACAGAACATTTATTTCCGGATTAGAGGAAAAAAGTTCCTTCAGAAGTAAACTAATCAACCAATCAGAAATGCTAATATTTTTTATCACCTCTTTTAAGCATGAATCCACCTACACATTTAAAAATTGGACCAATCACAGGTGTTGTACACAAAGGATACGATGGATGATAGAACGAATTATCCGGTAGATAAAGGTTTTTGACTGGCTTAGAGAGACATTTTCTAAGGGAGATTTTGTATGATACTGAAATGAAAGATTCTTCAACAACGAATTATATCCCATACAGCCGTTTCATAATCTTCACGCAGTTAGGCTATATGAAGAAGTCTTATGATTCTACGTTAGTCTCAACTCAGCACTGTGAACATGAAACTGGTTTTGTCTTTTGAATATCTGATGAACACAGAGAAGCGTCCTTAGCTTTCAACTTCTCCTTTTAGATGTCTAACATCTGAAAGACCATTTTCCAAACTAGTCCAACTCTTTTGAATGTGAGGTATATCGGATTGGGTAGAAACTTGGATTTGATTTTCTCATCAGTCAAGTATTATGTATAGGTATAATTTACACGTCGCATTGTCAATGAAGACCAAACTTCTTTCGGCAGTCACTCAGATCTTTTCAAACAGTAGTGAGCACTTTCTATAAACTACTGAATTCAAGAGTTTCCAGCAATTTTAGTGCTAAACAAATCTTCAAGTTGTAATGCCCCAAACAACCGTTTTGTTATTGTTTAGAAAAACTCGAAAATACTCACTCATGCCCCACAGCGGGACGAAGTGGCCATAAAGCTACCAAATTATCCTTCAAACCAGTGTGACCTGAGTGAATGAGGTTATCAAACCTGATGCACTCATAATATGGCATGTCCTGTTTTCTAGTGAACTGATTAGCATCAGAAACGTCTTGTTTTGCTTCAGATGTCATTAGACTTATTAGTCTTATGTGATTCATTTGGTGATACAATGAAGACAGTTTTTATGTGATGAACAATGCAGAATCTTATATCCAGTCAGCTCTTTCCCTCACTCCAGTTAGTGATGCAAGTAACAACATAAAAATATACCCATCGCACAAGAAGTAGCTATCGTGACTAATTGGCCTAGTGGATAATGCTCTAGCGTTCAAAAGAATCGGTCCATG